CAAGCAGAGGGGCGATCTGCTAAGACACGCGGCAGCGGAGGAGGGATGACCTTATGATGAAGCAAGGCGCGCAGTGAGGCGCCGCCTCAACATCCCTTCTCACTTCTCCGAACCCGATTTCGATTGATAGGTTATGATTTGGGCTGCACGGTTGCACTTGTGCTAGTACGTCGGTGCCACACCTTCATGAACAGCCCACGCCATCCCGTACCAGTTTTGTGCGCCGCCCACGCTAAGGGGACTGGAATCTGGTTGGGTAGGGGGAGACGTCAGGTAAGTGGGATGGAGGGTGAGCGCCAAGGGCGGGCCCAGAAGCCCCCTCTTCCATCTTTTTCCATGCCCTGTCTGTCCATTGTCCCCTACAGCCCTCTACTCCTTCCGCCTCAGCTCTTCAGGTGGCTCCGCCACGGACTGAGCGAGGTGTCCGCCCACCCCCTTTTCCTATTCCCTCTGTTCTTCTGCCGTCCACCCCGGCTCTGAAGGTAACTCTGTCACGGACTGAGCGTGGCTTCTCCACCGCCGCTCTCAGGGCGGCTTCGAGCTGCGAGTTGAATTGGTGTCTGTCATTCCCCACTTCGCCATCCCTCTGAGTGCTGAGGGTAGGGAGGATCAGGTGGGCCCTCTCCTTCCCTGCGCGATGGGGCGCCTCCAGGTGTGGAGCTGCTCGCCTGTGGCCCCGGCAGCTTGGGAGAAACGGACCAGGAGAAGCTTTGCACCTGTCCCCATCCATGCCCCTTCCCCTCTTTTTGTCATAGTCGAGGATGTGCCCGCCTCTGCTTCCAGAGGGGCTGGAGGGGGTGGAGGTCGTGGGGTAAGGAGGTGTGTGTGTGTGTGTGTGTGTGAGTGCGTGAGTGTGTGGAGCCACCATCAGAACTAGCACGGCCGCTGGGCGGCCGCCATCTCCTGCGACGTGCACCAGACGTCGCAGTGCATCAGGGCGCGGCCCAGCGAGAACTATCACCCATCCGCCCGTCCCGCGGTGCTCATGAGTATTGTCGTGGACTCGTTCCGATCTGTCGGATGATGATGATGATGATGATGATGAGGAGGAGGAGGAGGAGGAGGAGGAGGAGGAGGAGGAGGAGGAGGAGGAGGAGGCTTGAGGAGGAGGGACGGAGTTGAGTGAGGATTGACAGGACGGAGGAGGAATCTGAGGAGGAGGAGAAGGCATAGGAGGAAGGAGGAGCAATATAGGAAGGAGGAAGAGGAGAAGAGGGAGGCGGATGAGGAACACGGGCTCGGCGGCAGGAACAGGCACCCGAAAAGCCCGCAAGCGGACGGATCCCCTCAAGCGCGCCCCCTTTCGTACGAAGGTTCGCTAGCGTGGACCCCAGGCAGTAAGCTCTCGATCTGCAGCGCGCATAGTGCAAGCTGTGTGGTGCAAACGAAGCGGTGGTACACATGGGGTGCAATTGGTTCTGACCGCATCCGCGCGTGACAGTCCCACCCCCCACCCGCAACTTGTGGGCAAATCCCAGCTGGGTGGCGACAGCGAAGATGACACTGCTGGTGTTCATGACGACGGTGAGGACGATAATGATGCAGCTGGTGGTGATGAGAAAGGCGGTGGCAAGGATGACGCTGGCAATAAAGACGGCAATGATGCGGGTGGATGCCGAGGAAACGCTCACGCAACACTTTGACGAGGACGGCAACAACGACGGTGACGATGGTGACGGTAACGATGGTGATGATGACTATGGTGATGAGGATGGTGACGATGGCAATGATGACGCTGCCAATAGTGATCTATACCGATGGTGCTGATGAGGAAGATGAGTAATTGCACGCTCGCAGACGCATAGAAATATGGGCAAATGTGCATTGATAAACCATTGGGGTTTCCAATTTCCCATGTCTTTATTCCCAACCCTCCTGCGCAAAATTCTCGTTTTGAATACGACCCAAACGTGCATTATGGACGGGTCTCTTTGGGCCGTGGGCGACCCGTGAGAACGGCAAAAGACGGGCCACCGAGGCACGGACACAAGGGGTACGCCAGAGGAGGGCGCGCGTCCTTGCTGTGAATCACTGCTCGCGCATCCGTTCGTCTCGTCCTCCTCCTTCTCCTCCTCCCGCCTCCTCCTGCTCCCTACCTCAGCCCTGCCTCTTCCTTACCACCCAGACTAGACTGCGCGGCCCCCGTCGTGGGCTCCTGGGATGATCCACGAAATGGCAGTGTACGTATGTCCGGAAGGGACCTCGCGTGTCCTTGGGTGTGTGTGGGGGGTGCCAGCTGCGCAACTGTCGCCACTTTCGTGGGCTCGTTGGAGGTACATCGGAGTGGAGGTGTACGTAGGCTCAGACGAGACCTCGCCGCTCCCTGGAGGGATTCCACCTGCGCAAATCTCGCTACTTTCATGTGCTCCTAGGAAGTCCAGCAGCGTGGATACGTACGCAGACGCAGGCGAGACGTTGCGGCTACTGCGCAACTGCCGCCTCTTTCGTGTGCTCCTGGGAGGTCCAGCGTAGTGGATGCGCGCACACCCAGACGCGACCTCGCAACTCCCCCAACGGGGGCTGCCAACTGCGCAACTGTCGTTGCTTCCGTGTGTTCCTGGGAGTCCAGCGGAATAGACGTGCACGCAGATCCTGGCGAGACCTCGCGGCCCCGTGGGGCCTGCCAACTGAACATCGTACGCCACCTTCGTAAGCTCCCTGGAGGGCTAGCGGAATGGAGGCGTACGCAAATCCTGGCGAGGCCTCGCGCCCCCCCTGTGAGGGGCTGCCAGCCGTGCAATCGCCGCCACCTTTCTGGGCTCCTGGGAGGAGGTTCAGTGGGTTGGAGGTGTCTGCAGACCAAGTCGAGACTTCGCTGCGCCTTGGGGGGCTGCCAACTCTGCAACTGTCGCCACTTTCGTGTGCTCCCGAGTCCAGCAGAATGGAGGTGTACGCAGTCCCAGGCGAGAACTCGCGGCTCCTGGGGGTGGTGTGGGGCTGCCAACTGCGTAACTGTCGCCACTTTCGTGGGCTCCTGGCAGGTCCAGTGGAGCGGAGGTGTACGCGGATCCAGAAGAGACCTCGCTACGCCTTGGGGGGCTGCCATCTGTGCAACTGTCGCCACTTTCGTTGGCTCCTGGGAGGCCCAGCGGAGCGGGCGTGTACGTGTATCCACACGAGGCCTCGCTGCGCTCTGGGGTGCGCTCGCGATTATCCCTTTTGCGCACTGAGTTGCGAGAATGCATGCGTACATGGGGGGCGTTGTCAAATAGTTCGACCTTGCTGGGCGAACCATGCAAGATGGCCGCTGAATTCACACCGTCTTCTTTTTCGTATGCAACGTTGTGATTTACAGACGCCTCGCGTTAAACGGTTTTTGGGTACGAGGAGGGAAAGGAGGGAAAGGATGATGATGATGATGAGGAGGAAGAGGAGGAGAAGGAGGAGGAGGAGACTATCGAAACATTACGCTTTCCATGCTCATTGAGCACCTCTGTGTTGACACGCTTAGAAGTCGCAACGCTTTTGAATGGGCTTCGACGTGCGCGCGTGGAGACGCGCGCACGTCCCCATGCGGTATTATTTGAGAGACCCGGGGTTATGCTCGACCTGTTCGCGTGCGGCCCGTATGCTCTGATTGGGCAGAACGGCTGAAGGCTTGCCATTCCCTTGCAGTTGCATTGCGCGCGGACCAACTTCTTGTTAACACAACTAAGAAAGGGTCCCGGCGGACTAACAATAATCGCTGGGTGTTTACTGGGTTTCTGCGGCCGCGCTCTCGACGCCACTTTTTTCTTTTTGTGCATGGGTGTTCTTAGTTTTTTTTTGCGCCGACGTGTCTTAAGTCGAAGGCCGTTCGCTCTTGTTTCATTTGACGTGCGCGCGCGGGTACCCCGCATAATCTTTGTCGCAGGGGGCTATTTTCAGATCAACGCGTGTGAACCACATCAAGCTACTTGACAAGGATGCAAGGGGTGGTGCTGGTACAGGGCTTGGCTGGCATGCTATAGTCTGCAAGTGAGAACGGCAGATCGTACATGAGGCATGCGAGAACGTGGCACGCGGAGGGGGACCGCTAGCCCTGGCCTCGGTGGATGGGGTTGGGGTTGGGGTGGGGTGCAGTTTCGCCTCTGCTGGGGGAAGGGACCTGACACGAAGAACTTAAAATCGTCGACGAACTCAACTGGGCGAACAAGCATCAAGGCGCCAGGTGCAGCAGGGCACGGACAAAAACAGTCGGGCACGTCCTTCTACATGAGGAGTATCCCAAACTAGTCAAACAATAGTCTGGGGACGATTCTTTTGATTATTTTTAAATATTTGGGGGGTATTTTTCCGATTATTTTCATTTTTCGCCCAAACTCCCCCCTGTAGGGGGACACACCCTCCCGCTCGTAACTTGTTGGCAAAACTCATGCTGGCCGCGAGTGCCCTTCCCCGTCGGGACCTCCTCGTGGCATCCGATGCGGCGCAGCGGGGCGTGGGCCCTGCTCTCATGCAGACCCTTGCCGCGGGCGGGCGGGCGATGGTGGTGAGGACAACATCGGCGACGACGGCGACGATGATGGCAATGGAGATGATGACAGGGGCGACGACATCGACAATGAGGATGGTGATGACGAAGGCGGTGCCTGCAGTGCCTGCATGGATGGACCGACATTCGGGACACAAAAAACAGCACTCTCGCCGTGACATCGGGTTCATGAGGAGCTCGTCTTTCCAGGGGGCGCCCCCCGTAATCAAAACGAACGCCCGCAGGGTGAGGAGGGGATCGGGGACGGGATGATGTTATGCGGCATCGTTGAGGAATCCTTGGTCTACTCTGGTCCCTCCTCCTTCTCCTCCGTCTCCTTCTACCTCTTGCTCCCTCCTCCTCCTCCTCCTCCTCCTCTTCGTCGCCGCCTCCGTTTCATTGGTGTCCCTCCGCATACCTTCGGACCGCGGCTCGCTCAGAAAGCGGCCGCCGGATTCGGATGGCGACGGCCGCGCGAGGAGTGGTGAGACTTGGGGATCGCCTACGGCTAACACGCTGGCTCTGGTGTACGGGCAGGAACTTTTGCTCAGCCTCCTCCTGCTCCTCCTCCTGCTCCTCCTCCTGCTCCTCTTTCTGTCCTTCTTCTGCTCCTCGTCCTGCTCCTCGTCCTGCTCCTCCTCCTGCTTCTCTCCTGCTGCTTCTTCTGCTGCTCCTTCTGCTCCTCTTCCTGCTGCCGTGTGGCGCGCCGGCGGCCACTGTGCTGCGCTGCGCAACTGCAGGCCGACGGCCTGCGGCTCCGCTCCGCGGGGCCGGGGGGCAGGAGCCGCTCGGGGGCGCTGCCGCCTGGGGGGCCAGAAAGGGCGGCGCGGCACGCTGAGCAAAAGTTCTTGGCCGTAGGGCATCAGCGCCACGATTCTGCGGCTGCTCCAAGAGGAGGAGGAGGAGGAGGAGGAGGAGGAGGGAGGAGGAGGAGGAGGGAGGGAGGAGGAGGAGGAGGAGGAGGTTGAGGAGGAGGAGGAGGAGGAGGAGGAGGAGGAGGATCATGCGGTCCAGCGTAGGGATACGAAGGCATGCCATGCGCACGCAGGCCCTCCGTGGCCAAACGCTTGGCCCTTGCCCTGCCCACGGATGCGACCCGCCGAGTTTGAGCAGGATCTGCAGGCCCTCACCTCAAGGACACCGCTTCCGCCAGCTGGGCTGAGCTGCATCCCAGCTCTGCCTGGCCGAGCCGCAGTGGCAAAAGTCCCAGCCATGCGTGGCAGGCGCACACACGCCACGTGCAGGGCAGTGGGGCCGCCCTCCGAAGCACAGGTCGCGCACGAGCTTTGTCACTCCGCCGGCTGGCCTCGCGGGGTGGGCCGGGCTGCTGGAGCACCGCGCTGTACCGGCTGTCGGCCGCCGTCTAGTCGGGGGTGCCCTCGGCCTCGATGGCACGGGGAGCCGCGGCCGCGTCATCCGGGTCCTCTGCAGCAGAGTCCTTGGCCTCCTCGCCTTCTGACTGGCTGGTCTCGTCCCCCGCGTCTCTCAGCATCATCTCGCACCACATGTCCGCCTGTGGCTGGAAAGTGCCGTCTGGACAGAGGAGGTGCCAATACTGATCCCCGTCCTGGACGAGCTGGTCTGGCGTGACTGCCTTGTCCTTAATGAAGGCCTGAAGAAATCGCGTCGGCTTATCTGGGCTTTCGCCGATCTTCGAGGCGACGCACCAATACCTGCAGGGAGACAATGCAGCGTACAGTTTTGGCAGCGCAGGGAAGATGAGAAAGACGTAACATCACACGAACAATCAGTGCCCCTAACTTCGACGTCCAAATTTGTCAGCACGTGGGGTTCCGGAACTCTGGACCTCGTCCGTCGTATGGACTCCGTGCTGCGGGCCGTGCTCTGCGGATCCCTGGCCCCGAGGCAGGCCCCTGGAGGCCAAAAAGCTCCAAAAGAGCTGGCCGTCCCGATGCTTTCAAGGCGCGGGGCGTCCGGGCACGCATGCCGTGTGCATTCGCCCCAGCGCGCCCCTCGTGCGCGTAGAACTGGGCGGGGTCCTGGGCGATGCCCTTGTAGTCGAGCACGTAGACGCTGCCTTCGGCGACCGTGCCATTGACCTTGGGAATGAGGGCGCAGGGCAGGATGGCTAGGGGAGGAAGGGGCGAAGGGCGGAAGGCGACTACGACTACTACGAGTACCTCTACTGCTACTGCTACTGTTATTACTACTACTACTACTTTTACCTTTACTACTCCTACTTCTTCTTCTTCTTGTACTACTATTACACCAACTACTACTACAACAACAACAACGACTACTACTACTACTACTACTACTACTACTACTACTTTTACGACTACTACGACTACTACAACTACTACGACTACTACTACGACTACTACTACTACTACTACAACAACTACTACTACTACTACTACTACTACTACTACTATCACTACTACTCCTACTACTACTACTACTACTACTACTACTGCTACTGCTACTACTACTACTACTACTACGACTACGACTACGACTACGTACTACTTACTACGACTACTACTACTACTGCTTCTACTTATACTTCTTCTGCTACTACCACTACTACTTCTACTACTACTACCACTACTACTACTACTACTACTACTACTACTACTACTACTACTACTACTACTACTACTATTACGACTACTGCTACGACAACAACAACAACTACTACTACTACTCCACTAATACTAGTACTACTGCTGCTGCTGTTACTACTAATGCTACTGCTGCTGCTGCTGCTACTACTACTACTACCAGTACTACTACTACTACTACTACTACTACTACTACTACTACTACTACTACTACGACTACTACTACTACTACTACTACTACTACTACTACTACTACTACTACTACTACTTACTACTACTCACTACTACTACTACTACTACTACTACTACTACTACTACTACTACTACTACTACTACGACTACGACTACTACTACTACTACT